AAACGTCGGATGAGATATATCACAAAACAAGACGCAAGAATAACGTCACATGTGTGTACATAAAACAAACATGTTCACTGACGCATACCCGGCTGAATTTTAGGTCAAAAGTAGGTACCCGATATCCAACTGATGGTCCTTTTTTGGACCTAATGGGTGCATTTAATACATGAAATACTCTTAAGGTGTGTCTGTTGGTTAACGTGAACCGAAGACGCCAGACATATGTCCAACGTAATTCACTACCGGCTGCATATTGATGAGTTCACATGACATGTTTCAATCATTGTTTTGCAGTGTCTGAATGTAACAACGTACCTACCTCTGAGTGTATTACCTACTGATCCACCTATGTCCAACTTCACCATGAATGGCTGACACACAAACAATGTAATGCAATGAACGTCATTACTTCCTTGTTAAAAGCGCAGACGCAGTGTTGCACATGCAGCTGTTATCTTATCAGCAGCTTTAAACTGTGTCATGTGTAATAGTTAAGCTATCTTGTGGTGGGGCCGAGTTGGCCTAGTTGTCTCAGTTTAAGGTGTGCCCAATACTAAAGTAAGTTTAATATAACCACAGATACTCATACAATTCTTAATAATCATAAAATAGATAATAACATTCAAGACTTTCAATCTTCAACAGCACAATTAAATAGCATGTTTACACTCCAGAGATTTGAATTTACAGAAGTACATTCAAGTAATGGTTCACCATCAGGCTTGTATTAATGCCTTTTATGTGGACAGGGATTTCTTCCGTGTTTCGTGTCACTGGAATACATGCTATTTGTTCTACATGTACTGAGGGAATGGTGGACATTTGTACAGGTATTTGATCGGAACTCCTCGACAATGAGAAGCACTTGGTAACATTCTCCTTTCTAGTGTTATCTCTTCACAAGTGGGTATAATATTGTACATCAACTTTAACTGCGGTATAGTCATGATATGGATTTTGCATTTCATAAGCAATCATGCTTAATACACGTGTGAAATAAGATCATTATTTCACATATACAAAATTAATGAGGCACCAATTGCATTGTGTAATGGTTGTGTAAATGTAAAAATATAGGACTAAAAATTGGGGTGAGAAGGAAAGTGCCGTTTTATTAATACTTCATTTCATAGAGATGCGTTCTAAGTGCTAAGTTATGTAAGTTTAAATTTGAAACCTTATAAACTTTTATTTCATCAAGACGTGTTTACTTGTTTACGCACCTGGAGCAGGGATGACCGACTCTTCTAAGTCGCCGTCAGTCGCTGTGCAGGGTTGCGCCCCTTAGTTGTGCCAGGAAACTATGATCATGGGTTCGAATCCCAGTTTTGCACTGATGTTCTTTGGTTTGCGAGTTGGTCAGCACCATAACCGTACACGTGGGTTTCACCAGGGTTGTAAACACCGAAGAAATGCATCCCTTCCAACATTTTCAACTATATTTCACCAAATATGTGTTTCGGCAAGTACCCGAGACTGTTCATTGAGTTAACGTTATTTATTACCAATACTTAGCGGTAAGTTTTCAACTGTATAATACTACACACAGGAGGTATATTTGATTTTGGTGGGTATGTGGAAGTATACGCATTATATGGAAACATTTGGTATTCTTCAGTTTACAATAACTCGATTCGATGATGCAAATTCGTATTGTCTATGCAATATCGGAACCCGTTGAGAACAATCAGTCCCGATTAACAACTAATTCAGTTTGTTTCCTCCACTACCTTCTGTACTTTTATGTACATTTGTATAGAGCATATCCTAATTTCTCATATCTGTATTTGGTGTAACCAGCCAGTGTCCAAAACCCTGGTGTATCATGAAACACTCTACCGTTCAGTCCTCCTGATCTAACATTCTGACAATTCAGGGCATAACCATCATCTAATACACAAGATATGATGTCAAGACATTTTTTATTTCGATTCCATGTCATGGGCTGTCTTATACTTGATTGTATTCGTTGTTGGTTGGTTGGTTGGTTTGTTGTTTAACGCCGCACTAAGCAAAATTCCAGCTATATGACGGCGGTCTGTAAATGATCAAGACTGGACCAGACAATCCAGTGATTAATATCATGTGCATCGATCCACGCAATTGGGATCGATGACGTGCATCAACCAAGTCAGCGAGCTTGACCACCCGATACCGTTAGTCGCCTCTTACGACAAGCATAGTCGCCTTTTACGGCAAGCATGGGTTGCTGAAGACCTGTAGAATGTTACTATACTTTGTTGGTTTTGTGGCCAGTATTGGACATTCGATACCGACCCCGCATCAAACCGCGCTCTCAACGAAGAGAGTTATGTGTGCATCGTTTAGATAATTCTAAGGGGTGGGGAAGTGGGGTGGTGGTTCACGGACGGCACTGTCAGATGTAGTGCCATTGATCTCGTCTTCAACTTTAATCGAATGAATCATTAAACGACGATACACATCAGGATTGTGGGGGATAAAGAACATTCGGTTCAATCCATCTGTCATAAACTTTCTGTGAATTCCTTTCTAGTCCATCAGGAATTAATGAGACCTTGTCATATCTACAAAAATATATACAAGCAAAGTATTTGCCCATAACAAATATCATATAACAAATGTCCTACAGCTTGGTACAGAGTTTGCCAATAAATTTCAATGTTTATCCACAGAACCAGAATCATGTACTAAATAGATTTTATATGCAGTTTCAGGGAATTTATATCATGTTATTTATATTAAAAAGTAACGATATCAATACTGACGTCATTACAGCGTAATTAGAAGAAGCATTAAAACCTTCTGTGGTTATTTACATGAATATGGGAACCAAGTTTGAAGTCCACTTTTGATGGCGATATCGACAAAACGAAAGCAGCGTTACCTCCTAGTCACTGAGTAACTCAATGAAATTGATTTATTTCTGCAACACTGTAAATTAATATCAACAACTAAACGACATCCAAGTGCTTGAAAAATGTAAATACAAACCAAAAGGAAAGGAAATATGTATCTTTAATATTATGCCCATTTTTTATTGATTGTGATATTCATAGGAGGTGTTAGCATATGTTGCCGCACTGGTAGGTCGGACTGTACTGTATGTATGTTCTTCTTCCATAGATGAGGTCGTGTTGTAAACATCTGCACCATTCTTCCTTGTCTGCCGTTGACAGAAGCACCTGGGAAATAAAGGTTTCCACAATAGCTATATATTCAACATCCTAAGCACAAGGCTGGTCACGTACAGAAACAAAATTAATCGTAATATATATAAGATTAACGTTTGCAAGTTGTCGCTCATACACAGAATAAAACATAATTCAATGCATATTTATTTTGTGTTGGATACTGGTGTCATTTTCTGAGATACCAAATAAAAGAAATAACAGGATTTACCTCGACATTATCCAACCCGAAACAAAGCCAACGATCAGAACAGCCACGGATACGCCTAGTGTTATGGGTAGTGTGTTGCATGGCTCACCTGTACAAGAAGATAAAAAACACCATATCATTATCTTGCAATATATTTGTCTGTTTGTTTGTTTGTTGTTTTAACGCCGCACTCAGCAATATTCTAGCTATATGGCGGCGGTCTGAATATAATTAAGTCTGGACCAGACAATCCAGTGATTGACATCATGAGCATCGATCCACGCAATTGGGATACGATGACATGCATCAACCAAGTCAGCGAGCCTCTTACGACAAGCATAGTCACTTTGACGGCAAGCATGGGTTGCTGAAGACCGAATCAAACCCGTATCTTCACGGGTCTCTCAATATGACAACGATAATTGGTTATTGTTGTTGTTTGGTATAGTTGTTGGCTTTCTGGAGTCACTCTGCAGCTGTAGTGTCAGGGGAGAGTTTGAATTGTAAGACTGCCAAACCAGTGGCTTGCGAACAACCAGTCAGCTGCTGTGTTCACCTGTGTTCACGAGTCGTACACATGCCAAACAAATGGACACTCGCCTTTCACGACAAGCTCAACTAACATATGATGTTACTTGAATGTCAGGCAATATCATATGAATGATAAAAACAATAACAGTTTCTGTCTCTGAATACAACTGGCAGAAATATTTAATCGAGTATATATTTATTGGTTCTGTTCAGGGTCACAAAATTCGGATCCTCGAATTCTAAGGGGAACATACATGTTACCGCTACCGGTGTGTCTTTGCTGGAGGCATTTTTGGAGGTCTGTGTAGTAGTAGTAGTGGCAGTGGTAGCAGCAACATTAGTAGTTGTAGTTGAGGTAGTTGATGTCGTAGTTGTTGAGGCAGACGTTGACGTAGTTGATGCAGACGTTGAAGTAGTTGATGCAGACGTTGAAGTACTTGATGCAGATGTTGAAGTAGTTGACGTAGTAGTTGATGGAGTAGTTGATGCAGACGTTGGGCAGTTCAGTGACACATCTGAAGATATGTTGGCTCCACAGACGACGGTAATATTCTCACCTGTATCTGCTACAAATTTAGAGTTAATGACATTGTGACAATACCTGGGATCATGTACAATATTCAGCCCCTCGTACAGTAACCATGTACGTTTGTATGTGCGCACCAACTGTCATTGATAAGGGTATTGTTTCCTGTGATAAAAAGGCTCATGGGGCTTTTCGTCAATACTTTAGCATTCGATCGAGTTAAATGATATTCGGTCTCCAGGCATAGATTCCATCTGACTTTAATCCAACATTGAGAAAAACTGAATAATCAGACAGCTGATAGCAAACCATAACATCGTCCTGTATATTGATATATGGTGTTCGAATACATGCTTTACGGGGGAAATGCTTCATTTTCCAAATATATTCCTCACTCATAATGACTAGAAACACCCCACAAGTATTTTGCAACTGATGTGATAATTATTCATGGATTTGACGAATAAGTGTCAGAACAAACATTTTAACAGCAGTGTACACTTATTGTATGTGAAATTTTTACATTTTTAGCATATATCTTAGAAACAGTAAAGGTGTTTATCACTAATTTGCCTCTTACCTTTCGCCAGCAACCACAGAAACTCTTTTTCTTGACGTCCAGGATCGACTGTCATGAATATTGACATGTTAACATAGTTGGACTTGCTCTCAAACATTACGCTGGAACAGTTTCTTGATGCAGGTGGGTTCATACAGTCCACCTTGGTTGACACATCCCCATCAGTGAAGTCAACACTGCAGGCGGCTGACACAACTCGGGTTGCAACAAGTTGTATAATGACATGGGAGGTACACTCGTGAGAGTATGCTAAACAGTTAGCATGGGCATCCCCGTCATGTTGGTCGTTGTAAAGGTACACCTCCTGTCCTGTGTGTGTAGAATCACGTTGGATGTGCAGCACCGTGTCCTCTGAAAAGGATGGCCAAGTCATTAAGGTTCTGTATACTTCTAACACGACGGTAGATGTACTACTTGGCCAAGTCATTAAAGTTATGTATACTTCTAACTCCACGGTAGATGTACAAGTATTCGCTGTAAATAGGTATTTAAAACAATATCCATTAACCTAATGCTTTTAATAACATCAAACATAATAAGGACCAAATGAAGTTTTCAACAGGATGTAATATATGGAATACTATATCCATTTTTCCTTTCCAATTTCAAAGTGTGAGTGAGCGAGTTTAAAGCAACTTTGAACAGTATTTCACTAAATCATGGCGTGTCAGCTTAGTTTGTGTTGAAACCAGAACTGATGTAGGTCAAATACTTTTACCACATTGGTAGAACACACGACCAGTGGTATGGTGCTGAATGAGTGAGTCAGTCAGTTGGATATAATGCCGCTTTTAACAGTATTCCAGTTATATCACGGTGTCTCAGCTTAACTTCGGAGGAAAGACCAAATGGTACATGTCTCAGACGTTTACCACTTTGGTGAAACCCATGAGTACGGGTATGGTGCAGACAAACCTAGAAACATAATCGGGGCGAACCGGGATTCGAACCCACAATCATAGGTTTCTGGCGTGCCCAAGGGACGCAACTCTGCACAGCGAATCGCGGCGCCTTAGGCGACTTGACAACCCATGCCCCCTTGCAACAATGAACGAATGGGCAAAAAATATAATAGTAAAAGTGCCTGTACACCATTACACGATACAGAGTGGCATAAAGTGCAAGTAAGTATGAGGCGTCAAAGCCAGTGCATAATCAGTCCCGATTATCTTCCCAAACAGATTTCACTGATATTAATAGGCAAAGTACCGATGAACATTATATGAAAGGATCACTGAAACTAGTGAGTACACCAGGTGTACGGGAAAATGGTAAAGTGTGTCCTGTGGGACATACAAGAAGCTGATAACATTAAGTTTATAACGGACACTACTCACTGTGCACACATTCAAACGTGAATGTTACGTAGTCTTCACCATCAGTGTGCTCCACTTTACTACCAGGTGAAGACAGCTGACATCTTGTAGCCGCCGTGCATGTGTTCACAAAGTCAAGGAAGTAGTGACCCGGGAGTTGGTTCTTCATGGCAGGGAGGCAGTAATCTGTCACTGCATCATTCTCACGCTGTTGACAGCAACGTCTGATTTCGTCTGGACCCTTCTGTTTTAAGCTTGTTCCAGTTATTTCACTGTGACATGTGACGTCAGAGGACACCCCGAGTGTAAACATGGTAGGAAGAAGCATCTCTGTAGCGGCACACGGAGGATCGACCATCAACATGAAGGTGTAACAGGCAGTCTTGTGTCTCAGGCCCGAGACAGTTGGACATAGAACTGTAACTGCAAAGTTGATTGAGACTAAAGTATGAGTGAATTAAAAGTTAACGAACATCGACAATATTTCAGTAATACCGTGGCGAGAGGAAGATTGAGACTGAAGACTAGTTTAAACTGGTTTTTACGGTAGTGGGTCGTTTGGCACATCCATCCATCGTCAACTCACTGAGCCTAGCCCTGTGAAGCAGAAACTGCACATACACTCTGACAAGGTCGAATGCTTTTTATGATTACATACAAGTAGACTGTGTTTATCCCAATAAATGAAAACGAAAATCAGGTACTTTTTAGGACTCACCCACTCTCTCACTCACTCACCCAAACCCACCCACCAAGTCACTCACTCATCAGTGCCTGCTCATTAAAAATGCATTTACGGTAGTGGGTCTAGACAACCGAATAAAGTTTGCTACATCCATACCTCGTCAACTCACTGTGCCTAGCCCCATGAAGCAGAAACTGTACATACACTCTGACAACAAGGTTTGCAAAACGTTATACCTTTTATGTTTATCGTTTTACGTTCTGTTTATCCCAATTGAGAAAACGCAAACCTGGTACATTCATAGAATTATGAGTAGTTTGGTTGCAATTTCCCTAACTTGTACCATAGCATAATTCATTCACAGAAATGTTACTTGTCGACATTGCTGACTGTAACATTCACTCACTTGTAATTGGCTATACCGTGACACTCATTGCATCAGCGCCTGCTAAAACAAATTAACTTTGCAGTGGAAAGGCCAAGGATCATAATCTTGGGATTCAAATCCCCGACCAACGGGTAAGGGACACAACGGCAAGGTGCGGTGTCCCCCCTGCCCCACTCCCTATCAAAGAGTTAACGAGCATGCTCTTTATGTCAATAATGGTAGTGTTTGGTGTATATCAACCTGTTTCTGAATGAGTGAGTGAATGTGCCAGCGTTTCCCCGTCGGTCTGTAAATAATCGAGTGGCTGAGATTATAAGCTACATCTCGGGGTACGATGACACACAAACAACCAAACCACCAATCCTCACCACCGATACATCTCCGTCGCCTCTTACAGCACGCAGTGAGTCATGGGGTCTTATTCTTACCCAGGTCCCCATGAGGCTTGTACATCCTGACTTATGTCAAATCAAATGTTTATTTAGTATATGCAGGGGATATTAACAAATATCGATTTTACGAATTTCAAATAACTCTCTTTCAATTGATTATCCATTATGGTATTCCATTTTTTTAAATGTCCATAATTATAGTGTGAAACTCACCACGTCTTTCGAGGGATTAAGTGAATCGCATCTTGAATATATATCTCAATAATTATGTAAGTACAGATCTGGATGAGAGCTCCTATCGAAGACATGAAAAACTAAAATTGTTGTGATTTATCAGGGACCCTTCCCTGTTAAGCCAAAACATAGCTAAGGGAATTGTCCGGTGACCCTAGCTCCCATGAGATCAAGGTGTATGTATGTCAGCCGTGCAGAAACCACAGTCACAGTCGATTTCTGTCAGGAATCTATGTCCGGAGTAGGCTATTGCAGTTGCTCGCTATTTGGGAGATACACATACCATGCAGTGCCATGTTACCTGTAGATTAGCAGGTGCTACTGCATTTGGATCAGAACGCACATTCATCCTGACAAAAAGGATTGCATTGGCTTTGGTCAACAATGCCATGACATGGCTGTCGATTTGAATTAAGTAAAAAAATCGTCAGGTGATTTTTGCCAGTTCTGAAAATGTCGCACAGGAAACTACCACCAACATTTACAACAGCTCCAGATATTTGAGAAGTGTTTCCTCCTGCCCAGATCTCTGATTCTTATACAGGTAAATGGTATTCGTAAAGGAAAAAGAAGATGCATTTTGCAAACTATGTTATTTACAGACAGACAGTTTATTCAGTAAGAAGGCCATAGGCCAATAATAGCCACAATGTTTGATTGCATAAACTACGCATGCCAATGAAGTAATCGGTTTACATTTCTCTTAGCCGTTGGACTTTATACAAATATAAACATGTGTTATATACAACATCAAAGTTTCCTGTTGAAATAATTTCAGTTAAAGATGTTACAGTTTGAAACTTGATATACTGTTTAAGATACATAATTCTTAGGGCTGAATAATGCTCACATACAAGCAAAACATGCAATTCATCTTCAATAAAAGATATACCATTTTCTATACAATATTTACATAATCGTTCAGTGTATGGGACATGTGTGTATCTCCCAAAAATCTACTGCAAGTTTAAACCTGCTACATCTGAAACGAGTCATACATATTCTCAGATGTACTGGTGTGGGGAGTGTAAGATATTTTTCTACATTTAACAGGAATTTAAAATGTTTATAATAACAGGTATCAGATATTCTATTGATAGGACTACGCCATGATTGTTATTTATCATCTATTGCATTGTATCATTGTATCTTCAAATGCCAACCATCTCCTACCAAAGATCACTTCATATCCCAGAAACTCCAATTGGGCAACCGTCACCATATGGCTGAAATACTGCCGATGTGACGTTAAATCATAACTCACTCACTCACCAATTGGGCAAGCCTTTATATATTTCATTCGGTTGTAAGGCTCTTCCTATGTTTAGTATCCAGTGTTCTATCTACGAGTTCAATCTACATTTAGCTATACATAAGACAGCTATACATGTCATCTTATAGAGGATGAACGACGTCAACCAATCAACGTTGCAAATGAAGTAATACACAAAAGATTCCATGATTCCTTGATACATATTATCACAATATACCTTGAAGTATAATCCAAGTCACCAGAAAGAGGGATCCCCGCCACTTCGTCCGCATGTTGTTGGTTAGGGCTGGAGAAACACTCATTCAGATGCTCGATATCAGGGTCTATACGATAATAGAAACAATGATTTTGATAACGCCGCTTATAAATAACCACAAATATAGAGAGTGACAACACTTAAGCTTTTAAATAAGTTGCATGAGACACTGGCTCTGTTATGAAGAATACGCAGTATATGGAGTATAATAATTATATTTTCCACTTTATTCCAAATTAATGTTTTTTAATAGCAGCTGGTAACGTATATCGGGATTTCACAACATTCTATTATTCACACGTACGTTTCTAGATTACACATGAGCAGTCGGAAATGTCGAATGAGTCAAATGGTAATAAATATACATAACAATTTATCAGTGCAAGAGAACAACCAGTCTAAATTATCCGCCGAAACAGATTCCATTTGGAGTAAAGCTGTGAAAACTATACGAATAGACCACTGAAAATCAGTCAAGACACTAAATCACCAAACATAACACAAAAAAACATATAAAAGAAACATGTTCACTGACGCATACATGTACCCGTATGTATCCGGTGTTATCCGCAAGGAATCGGGTGGATGGAAACCACTTTTACTGAGTACGAGGGGTGTTCTGAGCCTCACATACAAAGACTTGATACAGATATTAAAATGATTTATTTGTCACCAGAATCCTCTTCGAACATGGATACACTTTTGCCAGTGATGTTGGAGGTATTGTATCCCAGTTTCGTAAAAGTCCTCTTGGTTGCCAAAAGACTTCTCCACCGCTGCTATTATGTCATCGTTCGAGTCGAAATGGTTCCGGGATCTTTCTTCGTGTTTGGCAACACATGGAAGGCTGACGGAGCCAGATCAGGAGAATGATGTTAGTGCTGAAGGATTTCAAAGCCACATCCGTGGTTATGGCAATGACGTTTTTCCCACTAGGAAGTGGTCCTGATGGAAGAGCACATACTTTCTCAGCTCTCCACGTCTTAATTTCGTTCTGTAATTGCCTCAAATGTATAACATATTAATATGCTTCCTGTACTCTCTGGGCTTTTGGAAGATGGTAAAAAACGATGACATCCTCAAACACGAAGGCCATAACCTTTCCAGGTGACGGTACAGTATATGCCTTCTTTGGTGGTGATCTCAAATACTACAACTGTTTTGATCATTGTTTGGACTGTAAGTGGTAAACCCATGTTTCGTCCATCATCACAAATCGTCGCAAGAATCTTTCTGGATCAGCTTCAAACAAAGCTAGCTTATCACGAGACATAACGTGCCTGGTGCGTTTATGGATCAGATGCCAGAAGCTTTCAAACCCAACAATCTTTGCTTCATTGCCAAAATTTCAATGATATTGGAATAGACTCTCTCTCTCCTGCCTCCAGAACCAGCATCATGACGCTCAGCCATTCTGCAGTCGGTCATCACCATATCATGGATTCTCTGGGTCATTTCTGGTGTTGCTGATGTGACAGTCGTACCAGGAAGGGGTCGTCTTCAAGGGCCTCCCTACCACGTGTATACACTGCTGCCCACCTCATTACGGTGACATAGAAAGGGGCATCCTTCCATAGTGTTGTACTCACATCTTCATGGATGGCTTTTGATGTTAAGGACCGCCTCCGTGGTCTAGTGGTAGAGCGTCCGCACGGAGAACGGAAGGCTCGGGGTTCGATCCCCAACCGCAGCATACCAAATGACTTTAAAAGATGGTACTTGTTGTTACTCTGTCTGGCGCTCGGCATTAAGGGGCTAAAATAAGGACTGGTCGGCTCGGAGTCAGTATACTGTGTCTGAGTTGGGTATTCATGTTAAACTGCGTCATGGTATCTCAGTGAGCTAGCACTATAAATCGGCATCAGTCCGGACTAGTACAAGCAGCCACACACACACACATACACATGCATGCACGTCGCTATATAAGTGCAATAATCTTGGACGCGATGTTAAACCCCATTTCACCTCACCTCAACTTTATGACTTTAAATATTTAGATATATTTTTGCACACAAAGCACATTTTATTACAATACCAACGGAATGGGGTCCTCTGATTGGTCGACATTTAGATAGTGAACCCTATTTAAGACTATTTTACCATACTATTAAGTGCTCTTTATGTAACTAGGTGTGGATGATCAGCACAACATACAGTAATATAACCTCATTCAGAAGTCCAAGATGGTCTCACAGTCGCCATTTGGTAATTTAAAGGTCTCAACATCTAAATCAGTAAATATATATTTATGAATTCCTTTTGAAAACCATCGTGAATGTCATTTCAATAGATTATTAGTTCATTGTACCCCTGCAACGAAGTTATGGGGTATAACGGAATCAGCGTGTAAGCCCGTCTGTTGGTCTGTCCGCAGAAAATAACTTTCCGAACAATCCCTTCCAAGCTAATTGACTGACTTCAATTAAACTTTGTACACGAGGCCACTTCATCATGTTGTTTGGCACATTGCAATTGTTTTGTTGTTGTTTTTATTTTGGCGGAGTTATTGCCTTTTATTACTTCGTCATTTCAATTTGTCTAGACAACTTCTAAACTACTACATCGATTTCTTTCAGATATGTACGTAGGTGTAGCTACGGACCCTGTACGACATACCTTCATTGATTCCCCATAGGACAGTTCTAGTTAGCTCCATTGTTATCCATACATGCAAGATGTCCGTAAGGCTAATGTGACGTATTGCCATCCGTCTTTGTACGGCGTGCGTCATCAGTCATGCGAAATCAATTCACAATCCAATACGATTGAATCATAAAATATGTTGAAAGATAGCTTACAGCTCACCTGGGACGAAGTTCCGTGGTGAGCTTATGTCAGCTCCCCTAGAAGATCGAATGGTCGGTTCCTAACTGACACGAAATACTCTACAGGCTGTATGCCTGGTTACAGGCCGGCAAAGCCACATTTCGAAAATGGATAGCCCAAATTGATGTGGCTCTCGCGGCAATGGATATGGTTGCGTGATTGTATAATGTGGCTCTCGCGGCTATGCTGTCAAAACATGCTTTGTGATTCTAACAGGTTACCGTATATAACAAAACAAGTCTTGTTTTCTCATTTTTTATTCAACAAGGATAACAGTAACATATTCATCAAAACTTTACATTGATGAATATGAATAGCATATGAATAGCATAATGGATTTAATGTCATTACTGCAGAAGAAAGGGGGTCGCCCACGTGGTCAGCATATTCCATCTCACTCAGGTGTTGGTTCAGGAGCTGGATCTTGAGGGACGCAATACGTGCATCGATTGTCTTGTACTTCTTTCTTCGTGAAGGTTCTGACCACTGTGAGAGAGTCTCAGGACTGTAACCTCTTTGAGTGACTGCTCTCGCTGAAATAGCTTCACTACCTCGTAGATGGTCGGGTGGCACTTCTTGGCAAGTTTCTTTATCTTGTTGTGCCACCCTTCCAGGTGATTGTTGGTACGGTGGCCTTGGTTTTCGAAATGGTTCCAAATCTCTGGCATGAAGGCCCCTCCTTGAACCCAACTGGTTGTCACGTAGTCCATGAAGGCAGTCACTTTAGGGCCAGCAGGAGAGTCAGCAATGGCATCAAGCACACTTTGCAGCACGTTTGTTCCAGTATTTATATTTTATTATTTTCTTTCTTTCCGCGTCCCAACCAAACCCTCTAATCGAAAACTTAATAAAAAACAATATTAGCCCTAGCAACCAAGCCCTAGCCCGGAAACATCCACTACTTACTCCAATTTCCCAAAGAATAACCAATTACCTAAATGAACACAAAATAAATAACCTTAAACAAAACAATAAATCATCTAATATCTTCACTCCAAAACTTAAAATACCAAAAATAGACACAACACTAGCCGACAAAACTCCCAGAAATAAGCTTAAACTTACCCAGCTCAAAATCAGAAATCAAAAGTGTCACTAAACAAAAAATCAACAAAAAATGGCAAAATATATACCAAAACTCAAATAGCCAAATCAGGAAAGTACTAAAACAAAAAGTTCGTCCCCCACCCACTCTTGGCATTCTTTCCAAATTTCAAAATTACTATATAAGCAACCCCTAAAGCCCCCCTCCTGGGTTGCACAAACTCACTTTCCCCTTTTTGGAAACACATTAAATGGCCTGGCCGGGCCCGTGTGCGACATACGCTTGCAGTCGGAAAGCGCACGTTAAATCTCCAATATAAGTAAGTAAGTAAGTAACACCACGCTTAGTAATTTAAATGTGGGACACTCATTTAAAGGTATCTCTAAAGAACACCACGCTTAGTATTTTAAATGTGGGACACTCATTTAAAGGTATCGGTAATCGGATTAATTAATTACCCGCCAGAATAGGTGAAATGCACTCAGCTGAAAATGTGGCTCTACCGGCAATAGCCATTTCTGAAATGTGGCTCTCCCGGCTAGACACCGTATGCCTGATGGTCTTTTTCGCTATTTTCAATCAACAATGGTCTTACTACAGATTATGCTCAACTGCTATAGAAAAGGTATAGACTTCATATCCGAAAAATATAAACTTTACTTGGGAAACCTACGGGGTTTTTTAAAACCAAACTTCATTGCATTGGAATTCCTGTCGTTTGCTTAACTGTCAAATCCGTAATATTGCAACAAAATGGCCATAATTGTATGCCTAAAACTCTGTTAATGGACCATTCTAACAACCCAACATCATCTACAACTTGGTCTGATCTGCTTGGGCAGAATCCTCATTTCCGTCGTTATGGTATTAAAATAGTAACGAGGTTACCTTGCAGAGTATCGAAAAATAACCTTTGTAAAACAGTAGGTTTGATAAAAATCGGTTAAAAGGGTTCGGGGTCATAAACGTTTTTTATGAAGCCTGAATATAACAACCAGGTGGTCGTTGTAGAGGGGGATTCTAAAAATCAATAGTCGTTTGCACATCTAGACAAAGCAACGATCAATTAAATCTGTGAAGTTCCATGAAAGTTCGATAAGTATTATTTCATAGTGATAACCCTTAATGTCAAATATTTTTACATTAAGAGTAATTATTACATTAAGGGTTGTAACATCCCGCCTTATTTTACTGACTTGTCACGGCAAACTACAGGCTAAATTGTGGATGTACTCCTCTGGCATTACGCAATGTCCACAACAAAATATTTCACTACAATGCAATTCCTTCTTTGTTGAGGCTCAGAACTTATCGATTAAACTCCATAGGTTGGTATCTGATGTTATCCGCCAGGGATTCAGCGGGTGGAAACCACCCTTTTGGGACCTGTACACCTATGAAGGTGTATCTGAGGGTTAACATGAACTGAAGACAGCTCCAAATACATGTTGTTACTAGTCAGTTCACGTGGTACGTTGTAATCATTGTTTTGCAGTGTCATCTTAATGTACCTCACTACCGAGACCCTGCATCACAGGGTAGTACACGTGTTACATGTACGTTGTAATCATTGTTTTGCAGTGTTCTAATGTAGCAACCTGTCCTACCTCTGATTGTATATCCTGCTGATCCAACTACATCCAACTTCATATCATAAAGCTGACACACAAACAAATCCATGCAAGGAACGTGATGACTTCCTTGTAATAAGCCCAGACGCAATGTTACAAAGGTATGTGTTATCTTATCAGCAGTTTTAAACTGTGTCATGTGTTATATTAGTCAACGGCTGTTTCGTGACCGTGGTGGGGGTGCGGATGGCAGAGTTGCCTCCAACTACACCCAACTTCATATCATAAAGCTGACACACAAACAATTCATGTAAGGAACGGGGTGACTTCCTTGTTATAAGCGCAGACGCAGTTACACAGGTATCTGTTTTCATATCAGGAGTTTTAAACTGTGTCGTGTGTAATATTAGTCAGCGGCTGTTTCGTGACCGTGGTGGGGGTGCGGGTGACAGAGTTGCCTCCCTTTCAGGTGGGTTCTTAATAACAAAGTAAATGTAATATTAACTGCCAATATTTGTCTGTTCAAAACCCTTAAACATATGTTTTAATAATCATAAATAGGCATTGCTACACTCGTGTCCTACAATCTTCAACAGCACATTTAAATATATGCCGATTATTTGCCATCTTGTGGCGTTTGATAATCGCCTTCGTGCCATGGTCACACAATGTCATGGAATAACTGAGTAAACCCGAGCTCAAGAAAGCTTTTTAACGTTTGGATATCCTGCTTTTAGAGACTCGAGGGTAGCATGCTGCACGGACACACCATGCATGGCACGTGAGCTTTCGTCACGCATGACTGATTACATCATCTCGAGAAAACATAATTCTTCACGTAATTATATCTTTCATAACTATTACAAATATTGGGACCAAACAATACTGAAATATATTAGGGTGTGCTTAACTTTTCTCTTTGTGTATATAATCTTGTTGAATATTCCAGATATTTGAAATTACGGAAAAACACTCGAGTAATAATATCTTTTTAACAACAGTCATGTGTAAGTGTCTTTAAGAAGACAGTGGGGCTTTTTTCGTGTAACGTTGGAATATATCTTATTTGTACCTGAAACAGCCTTTACGGACCAAACTGAAACATTGAATATGACAATGAATTTCTCCATAAGACGTAATCACACTATTTTAACTCAGACAACGAAGTTATTTTACAGGTGGTGTCACGGATCATGCATACATGAGGGTCACCAACCACATGTGATCATGCATTATACATGTCACCTGTAGGAGTTATTACGACTAGTTCATAATGTTTTAAAATACCTAGCACCCTTCACATTTGAAATTTGCAAAGAATATGTCAAAAGGAACAGTATTGTCTGATGTATCTTTAAATTTTAGAAGCTGTAGTATCAATAGAAAACGAGGAAAATCATCCTCGATCATCTGCCAAAACAGATTCCACTGGTCGTGAAAGGACAGCAGTGATGAAAACCATACGAACGGACCACTGATATCAGGGATGACACCATATATTCGCGGAAAGTGTAATCATGGCTTGATCTACAGGTATCACCCATCATATCATTCATGAAGCTTAATTTACACTTCTTGGCCTAATTCCCTTGGTTTGTTTTTCCCAATCCAAGCAAAATTTCGATTCAAGTGCATAAAGAAACAGATCAGTAAGAAGGGGAGTACTGTTGGCACCCATGGGGATGCCAGAGTCTGGCCTAAATGTCTTGTCCCTTATTTTACATAAATGTTATCTGGCGTTTCACATATTATTTTCTCAGTAGTCTTCAGATGCCATTTGCTTTCGTTTGGAGCAAATAAAGTTTTATCTCATTTTTTTCTTGGGATATAGTTGTGTACAAAGCAGAAAAATCAAATCTTTTGACAGAACTGAACTTGGTTCTTTTCTGAGATTGTAAAAATCCAAGTCAATCCTTTGTGTTTTAGAGATATTTGTGTAAATATAAAGAAAGTCTATATTTGAATAACTGGCGAAGGTTGTTCTTGTCAACAATAAATCACCTTTGATTACATGACTAACAGGTTGGTAGCAGTCTGACAAGTGATGGCAGTACTAGTCAGACGGATGGAACTTGTTCAAGAGCTGCCAAGTCCACCTTCCTTGAGGCAAGGTTTTGGTGGTACATTTGCATGACCCAACAATATATCTCTCTTAGTGCTGAGTTTATAGAGCTATAGAACCCACAGCAAAAGAGGAATAGACATGTCTGTAGGGTTTAGAGTCAAAAGTTGATAGTGCTGATGATGGATTTGGCTGCAGAGTTCTTCCCCAGTGGGGGCGGTCGGGTAGCCTAGAGGTTAAAGCGTTCGCTTGTCACGTCGAAGACCCAGGTTCGATTCTCGACATGGGTACAATGTGTGAAGCCCATTTCTGGTGTCCCCCGCCGTGATATTGCTGGAATATTGCTAAAAGCGGCATAAAACCATACTCACTCACTCACTCACTCTTCCCCAGTGGAGATCAGTGGAACAAAACATGATTAACAAAATATATATTTTCCGAACTGATAACTATCCGCGTGTTTGCAAGTGCTACATTGCCACATAATCGCCTCTATGATAAGATCGGTCAATTATAGAATGTTGCTTCTTTACTTCCTTGACTGAAATAATTGCCCTTGTTTCCCTTGTAACAAGATCTGACAGATAAACACTAAACTTTGGTTTATTATCTTATGTCCCCTTTTATTCATCCATCATAACTCTGTAAATATATATATAAAAACATTGATGCGAATGATTACAAAATATAAAACAAAGTTGATGAAAGATAAAGTATTATTAGGTAAATCTGCCCTATCATTGTCATAACCATAACAGTGATGCCGGCTTTGCTTCCAACTACTTCCGCTGCCGGGGGTCATGACACCAATGACGTGGTCTGAACAGGTCCGGTAGGGGGTCGAAGTGAGGCCTCAGATCCGGGGTTATCAAGCGCCGATCAGGAACCCAGTACAAGTCGATCAGAAATAGCAACACAGCCTAGTATCCCCTGCTGTGAATGTGTCATTAGCATGTTGGTGTTACTAGTCTGCCGTGCTGGTTTCGTGGTTGTCACCTTCCTTGATTATCCCCCGCCCCAACGAAGTTGGCGGGGGAAATAGAAATGGGTTCCGCCCGTGTGTGTGTGTGTGTGTGTGTGTGTGTGTGTGTGTGTGTGTGTGTGCGTCCCGAAATCGTTTCCGGAGCATAACTCTGAAACCGTTAAATATTTCTCTACGAAACTTTGCATGTCTGTCTATCAGACTCATGCTGAACTGGTGCCTTTTGCTATTAAGGAGTTTTATCAATTTTTATTTTTTACGTTTCCATTGCAACAAGTTGGACTTAGATTCCATAAGGGTGCTGTTTGTTTCCGGACCGTAACTCAAAAACCATTAAATACTTTCTTACAAAACTTTGCATGTCTACTAGGCACATACTGAACTGGTGCCTTTTGCTATTTAGGAGTTTTATAAATGTTTATTTTAGAATTTCCATTGCAGCTATTTTGACATGGCATAAGAGAAATGTTGGGTCAGTTACCTGGTTTGGGACCATAACGTGTTAAAATGGCGGGGGATATAGATGACTTCGTCGACTATACGCTTGTTTTTATAGATCTTTACCTGCGAACTACCAGCGTATTGGTAAAGAATAACATACTATTTACGAGGAATAACGAATTACCTATCCCCGACTGGTTTTGTTCCAAGAATTGGATATCTGTTGTAACAGATTGGATATATACACTGAATTGATGCCTTTGTGAAATAAAAATGGTTCCTTATAGCAACGAGCAGAAATTGGGCCGTTGTTTAGGTGAAATATAATTTTCTGTTTCTTTCAAATAGTGATGATACCAGGTGTTCACAAAGAAGGTGGGCGTATCCATCACCAGTCACAAACACATGCAAAGGCAAGTCTATTATTCACCTGAAAAATGTCGGTCACATCTGGTAATACCCAAAATAGAGATGCATCGGACATTATTTTTGTCACTGATGCGTCAAATTTGGAAATGTCCTCTACATGTCTACCATAAAACTTTATTGTAATCTTCATCAAACATCTTCTAAACTTCTGAGCAAGAGTCGGAAGACGCTAGTTGAAAAATTGGTAGAATGCACATGCTCGGTTGTACCTCCAAAGATTAAATGTAAACACCAAGAGCTGGAGCTGCAAGAATATTGCTGAACATAAAGGTGAAATATTGACTTTTGGAAAGTTGAAGCCATCCCTCTTGTCATACAGTCTTGTGGAGAGTATTTTGTCACTCTGAATCTTTATGCATAGATCTAAAACAGATTAGGCGGTCTCACTGGCCATCGATATGCCTGGAGCTTAAATTAAACTTCTTGGCCAAATTACCTTGTTTTGACTTTGCCAATCCGAGCAGAAATTCCGATTCATATGCATGAAGAGATAGATCAGCAAGAAGAGGAGCACATTTGATGCCCATGGGAATCTATTACCAAACGAGTTAGTTACAGGATTTCAATCGGGGCAACTCAGGTTCCAAAACACACCCAGCGGATCCGTAAAACTGAAGGACATCGCTCTGCCGCATTATAATGTAGACGCAATATCAGATGCGAAAATTATGTTGGAAAGTATAAATTCGCTGTACAAACTTACATTAATCTCATCATAGAAATAGAACATGAGGCTTATTGCTCGTATTCATGCATATTTTAAGGTATACCATCAAACGTTACCTCAACGCTATGCTTCGTTTATCGAGGTGAAAAGATATTGTAATCTCAACTGTTTTGTGTAAATGTATTCCTTTCAAGTCTGTTTGTCATACACGGTGTTATCCATACCTGTGGACATTCATTATTGGTCACTCAGTGGAGCAATTTACCCCCAAGATAACTAGTAAATGTGTGTATTTCACACAATCCTGTTCCACCATCGGCTGGGCATTTGGCTACCCATGCATGAGCAGGCTTGCTTGGCACACCAACACTGGAACGAGTCGAATCCACTAATTATTAAAAAAAATGGTATCTGTCTGTTGAGTGATGTATGAACGTTAACATGCAGTGGTAATGACGTCTGTTTTAAATAAGTTATGATTTTTTTTAAACAAATGATGGTCGATGGATGATAAATCATAATTAACGCCGTCATGTCTGATCGGAGATACTGCTAAGAATTACCATCAAAGTGATTTGCTTTATTTTTCAGAACTGATAGCCAAGATGGGATATTTGTGTTGTTATCTTCCAGACACTAACCAAGCCGTGAAACCATCCCTATAACATTGTATAGTGTTTAGATGCTAAGATGTGATATTGACGTCTGACGTTTTTACCCATTGTAATTTATAGTTTGAATAAATAAAAAGATTCAGACGCTGTAAGAAAGATCTAATGGAATAATAAATATGGAATACTTCATTATCTTGGAATACATCGTTGACGTATTGATTTCAAGTTTTTTGTTATTTCAGCATTGAATTGAAAGAATAAAGAAACGGAAGCAGCACAGAAAGATTACACAAGTTTCGATCCACAGTCTGATATGTCTTCATCGATACTATAGATTCGCACCTGCCCCTTGGATATTGGCTGAATTTTGAAACTACATTTGGAGAATGACTATTTTTGTTTTGAGAGCAGTGCATTCAAAGTTTAACGTTTCACATCATTTTGAATTCTCTGCATTATATAGTTATACCAGTTTGGCATATAAGAACAACGACCACAAAGAGAGGGCACACACTTGTCCCTATTTCTTTTAATGTCAAAGAACCCTTCAATGTAGATTAAATTTCAGAATTTACCGTCCCGAGTTATTAAACTAGAAATCAAAAGATTATTTCCGAAGATTTTTGTACGGAATGAGGGGAAAACGACAGAAAACACAACATGATTGTAGAATTGAACAATTGTAGTCGAACTAAGACTCAGTGGTAATTAAAATGATGACTTAAACAGTTCTAAGATTGCTTTATATGTCACAGTAGGAAATTGTTCTTTGTCCCTCTCAGCGTCTTAAACATCATATGAAATTAATATTGATTGAAGCATTCACTGATTACATAATCATCACCAGTAGCCGATTACATTCAAACAGAGATGTATTTCCTCATTGCTAATTTGGACACCCAACATGTCACCTGTAGCGTTGTGTCCCCAATGTCCAATCACATCATGACTGATGTTATAAAGACATATCACCTGTAGCGTTGTGTCTCCAATGTCCAATCACATCATGACTGATGTTATAAAGACAATGTCTGAGTGACCGGAGCCGACATCAACACTGCTGTCATCGAGGAACCTGTTCTCGAAATAATCATACTCGCTACAGCTGTGTCATTTTCACTTTCTTTGACAGTTAATTAAAATATTAATTTCCGCTAGAAAAAATCTCTCATCGGGGGTCTCCTGTGTTTATCTAATTTCCAGTCCAGGGGACTTTCAGTTAAATGTTGGGGGGAGAGTGGAGGGGGCGACATTTCACACGCTTCACTTGATTTCCTGTATGGTTTTCTCTTGTCATATCATTGCACGTACTCAGAAGCATTTAGCCTATTGTAGATGGGAATTTCAACGTCAACTAACGTGTGTGTGTGTGTGTATGCGTGCGTGCGTGCTTGCGTGTGTTCGTGCGTGTGGTGTGTGTGTGCGTGCGTGCGTGCGTGCGTGCGTGGTATGTGTGTGTGTGGTGTGTGTGCGTGCGTGTGTGGTGTTTGTGTGTGCGTGTGCGTGTGTGTGCGTGCGTGCGTGTGCGTGTGCGTGTGTGTGTGTGTGTGTGGTGTAGTGTATATAGTGTGTAGATTGTTTGCTTATCACGATTCTAGAGGGGCATCAAAGCAAAACAGAAGGAAATCCTAGCTCTGCAAAAGAATTTATTTCTAACATTTTGTTCGGTACATAACGTGCGTGGATATCACATTACATAATGTACAATGCATATAAATGGATAGATTACTAACTGCTCAGAATAACTTGCAAAAGTGGACATTGATATTGCGACACAGGTTATAACATATTATTTCTTAATCATTTTGAGCTCTCATTTCGAAAAATGTGCTGACATCACAAAAAACACACTTGTCGAATGACGTTAACAATCTTCAGCTATAACGTCGTGTCAAGTGTAATGCCATTCAGACCTTACGTCAAAATAAGATTCGAATGACGTCACGAATGACGTCACGAATGACGTCCGGATGGCGTAAACCATACACTGGTACGCGTGAAGGGATATTTGCTCTAGTGCACATACAAAACCCGTGCACGCGACAAAACCTTTCCATTATCAAAGGAAATCCCTGCTAAAGCAGAACCAATTGTACAGCTCCGACTGTAGCATCAGCACGTGTTCATGAATCACTATCAATAGTGATCATACAGTGTATTCCTTTAGCCTCTTCATGTGAGTGAAAAGATGTATTACTACACTCACATACAATACGATCATTCAACAGTAAAACCCAAGACTTTATTTACCGCCTTGCTAAAGTAATAAGTGTGAGTGAGTGGATTGTGTTTTACTCTCGCCGTCAAAGCGTTACCACAATGACCATTGGTCCTGGTGTGTTGTGGCGACTCTGAACACTATTTCAGCTCACCACAGTCTATTGGCTCAAGGACCGCCTTCGTGGCCTACAGGTAGAGCGTCCGCCCGGATTGCGGAAGGTCCTGGGTTCGATCCCCGGCCGCGTCATACCAAAAGACGTTAAAAGATGGTACTTGTTGTTACCCTGTCTGGCACTCGGCATTTAAGGGTTAAAACAAGGACTGATCGGCTCGGAGTCAGTATACTGTGTCTGAGCGGGGTATTCATGTTTAACTGCGGCATGGTATCTCAGTGGGCTAGCACTATTAATCGGCAACAGTCCGGACTGGTACAAGCAGCCACACACACGCGTGCATGCACGTCGCTATATAAGTGCAATAGTCTTGGACGCGACGTTAAACCCAATTTCACCTCACCTCACCTATTGGCTCAACGTTTATCACTTAAATTCCATGAACACGGGTATGTAAGTTAACATTTGTTTTGTTTCTTGTTCAACGCCGCAATCAGCAATATTACCAGCTTTACGCCACCTGGTCCCGTTAGTCGCCTCTTACGACAAGGATGGGTTATTAAAGACCAATTCTAACCCGGATCTTCACGGGTTGTATGTATATAGTTAAGTTATAATCAGTTCAAACCGACCGAACTATTCCGGCAGCTAAGGAAAGGAACTCTGTACATAGAATGACGACGCCTTTAGACACTGGGTAACCATTGGGGCCCGCCTGGGATTCGAACCACAATCAGCAGACCCTGGAGGCTTGGCCGTCGTTAGCCGCCGGGTGTATCAACAGGGTTCCAGCATCGACTACAGCATCTTGAGCGTACGTCGTATAACTGACCACACTAAGCCCTCATTGTGACCAACCGATACCCTTTTTGAGTCATGAGAACGATGGGGAAACAGGGCATCTTGCGGAGTCACGTGACAACCGTAATAATGTTGTAGGTGGAGACAGGTCGCGTTACATTTCAACATAACTTCGGAGTACGAACCTGGTGGGTAAGTGCAATATCTAACTTATAAAATCTCACGATGTGCGTTCGAATCCAAGTTAAATTCAAGTCATCAAGTCTACAGGTTACATTTGTGCGTTAATTTGAAAACACGGCAGGCTTAGTTATTAGAGATGGCTTGCTGAAGTAAACAACGACAAATGACCATACGTTTAGATAAGTAATTTTTTCAGTATTATCTAAAAAAAAATTAAACCCCAGGCGCCTGACGCCTGATCAACTTTCACAAATAAAGAATAGCGCATCACCCCACTGAACAATGCTTCTAGACATTCATATCTTCTGAAGGGGCGGTCGGATAGCCTAGTGGTTAAAGCGTTCCCTCGTCACGCCGAAGACCCGGGTTCGATTCCCGACATGGGTACAATGTGTTAAGCCCATTTCTGGTGTCCCCCGCCGTGATATTGCTGGAATATTGCTAAAAGCTGCGTAAAACCATGCTCACTCACTCATATTTTCTGACAGGAGTCGATTTTGTCGGATCCACACATTTAATAATAATTCTTTGGTTTAATTTCCATAATTCATAATTAAAAAACTAACGGATGTAACAGTACATTCGATTATTGTGATAGTTTGGAAACAACCATGTAATATTATCTCTCTGTGTGTGGGGCTGGGGGTGGGTGGATGCAAGGAGGACCCATCACAATTTATTCTGGACACACAGCACTTTCTCTGAATATTAAATGGTCCCCGAACATGGCTGCTGTGTTTGTCAAGTCAGTGGGCGTGCCGGATCTAGACGCCGTCAATCTGACAGATGAAGCTCATGTGCTCCGTGCAGGGGATGTCGTTCCACTTGAAGTAGAAGAACCAGGCGAGAGCCAGGCACCGCTCTGTGGGCGAGCTTGGTTCAGTCGACGCCCAGTTGGTCCACGTGGCAATGTCGCCGTCGCCCCACTTGTACTGACCTTGAACGTCAAAGTCGTCGGCTCCAATCGTGTAGTGGGTCTCACGAACGGCTGTAAGAGTAGGTGAGTGAGTAAGATTTTAGCAATATTGTAACTATAATAAGGCGAGAACATCAGGAATAAACATCACAAATTTAGCCCATGTGGGGAGTCGAGTCCGGCACTTTGGCGTAACCAGTGACCACTTTATACGGTACACTTATACGGTACACTTTATACACTTATACGGTACACTTGTACGGTACACTTATACGGTACACTTTATACACTTATACGGTACACTTGTACGGTACACTTGTACGGTAAACTTGTATGGTACACTTATACGGTACACTTGTACAGTAGACTTGTACGGTAAACTAGTACGGTACACTTATACGGTACACTTATACGGTACACTTGTACAGTATACTTGTACGGTACACTTATACGGTACACTTGTACAGTATACTTGTACGGTACACTTATACGGTACACTTGTACCGTAGACTTGTACGGTACAATTGTACGGTACACTTATACGGTACACTTATACGGTAGACCTGTACGGTACAATTGTACGGTACACTTATACGGTACACTTATACGGTAGACTTGTACGGTACACTTATACGGTACACTTGTACGGTACACTTATACGGTACACTTTATACACTTATACGGTACACATATACGGTAAACTTGTACGGTAAACTTGTATGGTACACTTATACGGTACACTTGTGCAGTAGACTTGTATGGTACACTTATACGGTACACTTTATACACTTATACGGTACACTTATACGGTAAACTTGTACGGTAAACTTGTACGGTACACTTATACGGTACACTTGTACAGTATACTTGTACGGTACACTTATACGGTACACTTGTACAGTATACTTGTACGGTACACTTATACGGTACACTTGTACAGTAGACTTGTACGGTACAATTGTACGGTACACTTATACGGTACACTTATACGGTAGACTTGTACGGTACACTTATACGGTACACTTGTACGGTACACTTATACGGTACACTTATGCGGTACACCTTATACACTTATACGGTACACTTATACGGTACACTTGTACAGTAGACTTATACGGTACACTTATACGGTACACTAGTACGGTACACTTATACGGTACACTTGTGCAGTAGACTTGTACGGTACACTTATACGGTACACTTTATACACTTATACGGTACACTTATACGGTACACTTATACGGTACACTTGTACAGTAGACTTGTACGGTACACTTATACGGTACACTTTATACACTTATACGGTACACTTATACGGTACACTTATACGGTACACTTGTACAGTAGACTTGTACGGTACGCTTATACGGTACACTTTATACACTTATACGGTACACTTATACGGTACATTTATACGGTACACTTGTACGGTACACTTATACGGTACACTTGTACAGTATAATTGTACGGTACACTTGTACAGTATACTTGTACGGTACACTTATACGGTACACTTGTACAGTAGACTTGTACGGTACACTTATACGGAACATTTAATACACTTATACGGTACACTTATACGGTACACTTGTACGGTACACTTGTACAGTATACTTTACGGTACACTTATACGGTACACTTTATACACTTATACGGTACACTTTATACAATTAAACGGTACACTTATACGGTATACTTTATACAATTATACGGTACACTTATACGGTACACTTGTACAGTATACTTGTACGGTACACTTATACGGTACACTTGTGCAGTAGACTTGTACGGTACACTTATACGGTACACTTAATACACTTATACGGTACACTTATACGGTACACTTATACGGTACACTTGTACGGTACACTTGTACAGTATACTTTACGGTACACTTATACGGTACACTTGTGCAGTAGACTTGTACGGTACACTTATACGGTACACTTTATACACTTATACGGTACACTTTATACAATTATACGGTACACTTATACGGTACACTTTATACAATTATACGGTACACTTATACGGTACACTTGTACAGTATACTTGTACGGTACACTTGTACGGTACACTTGTGCAGTAGACTTGTACAGTATACTTATACGGTACACTTATACGGTACACTTATACGGTACACTTATACGGTACACTTGTGCAGTAGACTTGTACGGTACACTTATACGGTACACTTGTACAGTATACTTGTACGGTACACTTATACGGTACACTTATACGGTACACTTATACGGTACACTTATACGGTACACTTGTACGGTACACTTATACGGTACACTAGTACGGCCTTGATGCGTAACGGAATCGATCGAAAACCCACCTAAAATGTTATTAATTTTGAAAATAATGTACATCACTAATATGAAACATAAATTATTTAGATCCTTGACCTTCATTTGAAAGGCAGAATTTGATTGTAATTTGATATTAGTTTGGATATTTACGGTACACTTTATACAATTATACGGTACACTTATACGGTACACTTGTACAGTATACTTGTACGGTACACTTGTACGGTACACTTGTGCAGTAGACTTGTACAGTATACTTATACGGTACACTTATACGGTACACTTATACGGTACACTTATACGGTACACTTGTGTAGTAGACTTGTACGGTACACTTATACGGTACACTTGTACAGTATACTTGTACGGTACACTTATACGGTACACTTATACGGTACACTTATACGGTACACTTGTACAGTAGACTTGTACGGTACACTTATACGGTACACTAGTACGGCCTTGATGCGTAACGGAATCGATCGAAAACCCACCTAAAATGTTATTAATTTTGAAACTAATGTACATCACTAATTTGAAACATTAATTATTTAGATCCTTGACCTTCATTTGAAAGGCGGAATTTGATTGTAATTTGATATTAGTTTGGATATTTACTTTAAAAATCGCAGTGATGAAAGTAATGTTTGTATATATTTTATATGAGTTATCAAGGTGCCTGGTCCTACCTGATGAACTCGATTATTTACAGACCGCCGTCATATAGTTGGAATATTGCTGAGTGCTGCGTTAAACAACAAACCAACCAACCAACCTACCTGATGAAGCTCTGAGGAACTCGAACATGTGAAAGGATATATCTGCGTCCTTAACCTTGAGGAGAGTGGCGGCCTCTGTCTGGCACGTGACCTTGGCCTGGTCGTACGTCTGCTTCTCCATATGGACCTTGTAACATAGGACCGGTGACCGGTGCAGCACGTATCCGGCGTCATTCGGACATCGAGCTGAGAAATGGGAAACAGGAAAGTTAGCTTTGTTTCGTGAAGCATCTTGAATATGTATGAACTAGTCGCCATACCAACCACGATGACCAAGGGACTAATACCTCCAGTCCACTGTCCACCCTGGACCCGTTGGCTACATTAGCTTCGTTTCGGAAGTGACGTTACCACCTCCATCGCTCCGCCATCTCATTGCCGAATTTCTCTCACGCGAGATTGTAATTTCATTGGACGACTATTTTTTAACGTCGTGTCTTTCGTATCGGGCTAAAGACCAAGATTTAGTTGCGAAGGGGCTCATGGTATTTATCAAAATAGAAAATATATTTACAGTTTGCCCTTTACGCTATGAAGGTTCATACGCCAATGAACTCGACATTGTGAAAGTCAATTCTTAAATATATATGTCCGACAGAAAATATGAAACTGTTGCATGCATTTCACTGTATGTCACATGTGGTGACACTGTGTATGTCCATCGTGACGTCATACTTCTGCAACCTGACGTCATACTACTGCAACCTGGCGTTATACTACTGCAACCTGACGTCATACTACTGCAACCTCACGTCATACTACTGTAACCTCACGTCATAGTACTGCAACCTCACGTCATACTACTGTAACCTGACGTCATACTACTGTTCAAATGTTGTACTGCTGTTGGTGTCATCTCATTTTAACATCGTAATTCTCAAAGCAATTCTCCTTTATATATGCAGATAGAGAAATTCGATTTTGACATCCTCTTTTTCTGGTTTCCTGTTTAATGAGTATATTGTGAAGTAAATATATTGCTTAAGTACAGGCATAAAATCTATCATTAATCCACCTATTAGTATTCCAAGTATATACGTTTCATAAGACACAGGTGTATATTTTTTCTATATCATCTTGTCAAGAAACGACTCTACTGTGTATGAATAGCGTTAATCTCCACCATCTGGTCCTGAGACACTGTCTGGATCATGCTTGGCAAACGGAAATTGTAAATAATGAATTCAGCTTCGTCTTTGAGCTGTCGAGTCAGTCGTGTGAACCCAGTTCCATCGATTAGGTAACACAAGAGTATCGATTAGATAACCCCGGGGTACCGATTAGGTAACCCCAAGGTATCGACTAGCTAACCCCGGGGTATCGATTAGGTAACCCAAGTGTGTCTCTGAAGGTTCACGTTGCATGTTTTCTTGTATTTCCGGCAATTAAATCACACACTACAGCATAACTTTATTTTTCCATGCCTTATGAAACCATAAGCACTTCTTCAGAATCGATGTGAGGTTAACGCAGCTCTCGGTAACAGATTGCCAGCTATATGAAGGCGGCCTGTAAATAATCAAGTATGGACAAACCAGTGATTGATATTATAAGAACGTCCCACGCCGTTGGAGTAAAACGGCTCGTAATCAACCAAGTCACCGAGCTTGAACACCTGATCACTCTAGCCGCCAGAATACAGGCTGATGTGTAATTATGGAGCCTATATTGGTTCCCGGAATCCCAACGGGACGTTTATGAATGTACACTACATGTCATGCACTGTTTTGTACCAGCTTCATATGAGCTCCACACATTGCACCCATGTGGGGAATCGAACCCAGGATTTCAGCATTTCGCGGCCACCTTAACCTCTAAGCGTCCCCGTAGCCCCTCGCTAACTCGAAGTCTTGGTGACATAATATACATATCGAGTTATTCGTAATTCGAAACAAGTGAAGTACCCAACTTAGACTATTGTGTCATACGTATTCGGCCGGAAACAAAACGTTATGTCGAATTAATAGATTTACATGTTAACTCCTTCCTTTTAGAACTCGCTGTGCTGAGCTGCCCCATGTTATCGTAGGTTCGAATCCCAAATTCGTTTTTTTTTATAATCATTGGTGTATCAGTACCACACACGAGCTCGTGTGTTTCATATTTTAAAGCGGCGTTACGCCCATCTGCTTCCTTACTCCGTTAGACCATCACGCTTTCCTCCCACATTAAGCTAACGTGTCCTGATTTACATGAAAAACTGTCCTCATCCGCGTAAAGAACAGAATTAAACTCGTTTCAGAAAGTTGACATCAGCCCGGCGAACACGCCGCATCCCTAGTTCTGTTTGGGTGGTCAAAATGAGTTTGCTCGTAGTTGACCTGACGTGACCCGTGGAGGGGTCCCTAAACTTGACACTGAGACGTATCGGCGGATGTATCTCACAGGACCCTGTTTCACAAAGCGATCTTAGCGCTAAAACGATCGTAACTCTCATACTCCATCAAAGACTTACAAGAGTATCGCTAAGGTCACTTTCTGTCACTTGGTTTCACTGTTGTCTTATAGAAAAATACCCGCAGGAGACGCAAATCGCGCAAAGGTTAAGATTATCGCAAATGGTTCTGAAAGAAACAAATATTAGCCACATGTGAGGTGTTGCTTTGATAGATGTAAGTCAATGTACAGTGCAACCCTGTCATTCGGGAAACCCCGCCGAGCGAATGATTCCCGTGGAAATTGTTTATACACTTACTGGGGCCATTATGACGAAACCCTGATTCGTTAATCAGGGAAAATATTAAACCATGAAATTTCACTTTGGTCAGTGACGTGTGGCTTAATACAGTTTCACCGCATGTGAATGCGGCTGTAAAATGGTTTCACTGTATGTTAATGCGGTTGTGATAAGGTTTCACCGTATAAGAATTCAGCTGTAACAAGGTTTTACTGTGTGAGAATGCGGCTGTAACAAGGTTTCACTGTATGTGTATTCGGCTGTAACAATGTTTTACTGTATGTGAATGCGGCTGTAACAAGGTTTCACTGTATGTGAATGCGGCTGTAACAAGGTTTCACTGTATGTGAATGCGGCTGTAACAAGGTTTTACTGTATGTGAATGCGGCTGCAACAATGTTTTTACTGGATGTGAGTACGGCTGTAACAAGGTTTCACTGTATGTGAATGCGGCTGTAACAAGGTTTCACTGTATGTGAATGCGGATGTAACAAGGTTTCACTGTATGTGAATGCGGCTGTAACAAGGTTTTACTGTATGTGAATGCGGCTGTAACAAGGTTTCACTGTATGTGAATGCGGCTGTAACAAGGTTTCACTGTATGTGAATGCGGCTGTAACAATGTTTTACTGTATGTGAATGCGGCTGTAACAAGGTTTCACTGTATGTGAATGCGGCTGTAACAAGGTTTCACAGTATGTGAATGCGGCTGTAACAAGGTTTCACTGTATGTGAATGCGGCTGTTTCTTTATTACCTTCTGTCATCTGGAAATACCAAGAACCCGGATGTGCTGCAGCGTCTCCTGGCGTGATGAACAAGACGGAATGAAGCTTGCACGACTTGTCTCCCTTGTTATAGAAGAATGACCCACATTTGAGAGCGTTGTAACACTTGACGGCACACCACGTCAGACTGAAGGCATCGCTGTAACTGTTGATCAGGTACGTCGTCATCAGCTTGTTGTCAAACTGGGGAAGTCGTATCGCCAAGCCGTCTCCTTTCGCCTGATTCGCCAAACACAGCAGCAGGAGGACCAATGGACAATCCAGAAGTGACGTCATTTTGAAAGTTCGACTTCGTTGGTGTTGGAAAATGTTCAATAAAACTTTACAAAAACAATCGTTTGTGATTACATTCAGATTGTTTGAGAGACAGCCAGAGACGGTAGGTTCTGTATCATCAGGTATATCGACAAAAACATTATCTCGTAGTCATAGGGTCGCTTTGTCGACGAAACACTTTTAATATCTCTACACTGACATTGATCTGGTGGTTTCGTAAGTGGAAGAGTCACTGTGTCGTCCTGTCGATATCTCCCCAAACCCTGGGAGTAAACAACTAATATTTCTTCTCTAACAAACTAAACTAGTTTTTAAGTGTTTTTTTGGACAGTAGACGTTTGATGTTCGTAGGCTAATGAAAAATACATGGATAGACTTGATGTATTATTGTCCTGACTTGGTGAGGTTCCCATTCACTGCGGAGCTGTAAAGCAGGTAATGGATCTGCCCCGGGGGCTAAGCTGATTCAGGGACAACAAACTTGGCTCAGGAGTCTGCTGCGAATCAAATCTGCAATGAGAGGAAACGTCTTGAATAAACTATGTTCCAAGAAATTGAAAAGATGAAAGGATGAAAAGTGTTCGATATTCCCTTTCATAATTGAACACGCTATTCTTGTAAGTATATACATTGCATATGGTTTCGATGACAGTGCCAGTGTTCATCTATTATTTTCTGCTTTTTTTGTACTCTTCTTTATGGAGGATTAAAAGGTTATATATATCGAGCCAGCTTGGGTATCACGTGTCATTGTTACACAAAGAGTCGTTCGTGATATCAGTGGTCGATTATGATCTTTAATTCTTTACGTGATTTTCAAGTCAATCAAACTTATGTGACGTCATATATAAATCCACACTTGAAGGTTGAGCTAGCCTCTGTGCATCGAGTCATGTTAATAATTTTGTTCACTTTCCTGTTACCTATTTTAAAGATTTGATTAATCCCAAATATCGTTTGTTAATGTGTTCAGAGAATAAAATTATGTTGATATTGACATATTTTCAGATTATGTGGTATATATTCATAGAACTAGTTTTCTTTGCGCAACTGAGTATGAGTGGGAAAACCGACCGAGAGCCGGCAAATACCGACAAAATACATTATTGCATTTTTCTTCCGCGAAACAAGAGAACTTGAAATTTAAGCAAACATTGTTACGATATTATTCAGCTAGACTAATAAACTACAAAGTATGAAATTATAAGTATTGAACGTCGAGGTTCACACGAAAGTTTAACCAGCGCTTTTAAATCGTTCACACTTCAATGTACCCATCCAAACTGACGTTCAATTCTTATATGAACGTCAATTTCGCGGTCATGTGACCGACCTCTCGTCCAATGGAAAAGCCGTATATCGCGTAAACGTCAAATTAAAAAAATTATATACTTTTCACCGCTATGTTGCCTTTTAACGCCCAACGGAGTCTTCTAATTGGATAATCGAGACTGGTTATTCTCCGACGTTCACGTGTTATATTATATTGTATAAAACTGAACTACATCTCGGAAAAAGTGTTCGAACGTACGAGCGTCATATGATTTGCTGACGTGTAATAGTAGAACTCGGCGACGGAGGTACCAGGTACATGATAGAATGGAGTATACTTAAATGTTAAATACTTTCAACGATGTTAATATTAAAGTAACGAGATAACGTTTTGATGAGAGAAACTAAACACATGTACATGATTGTTCAGAGCTCTAGATTTAATATAACCTTCGCCAATATGTTCTCAAACCGTGTTCTAAAACACTCGTGTATTACCCAACGACATTGTTAAGTGAATGAGTGAGTGTATTTGGTTATACACCGCTTTGAACAGTGTTCGAATTGTGTCACAGCGTGTCGGCTTAATTTGGGGGGAAATCCCAAAGTAATGCTGATACTGCTAAAAGTGTCACGCCGAAGACCCGGGTTCAATTCCTCACATGGGTACAATATGTGAAGCCCATTTCTGATGTCCCCCGTCGTGATATTGCTGGAATATTGCTAAAAGTGGCTTAAAACAATACTCACTGTCATAACATAACAGATTTTATCATATAATGGGTAGGTTTCTCGACAGGATAAAGCCAACGGATAAAAACGATATAGAGATAGAGATGCAAATACGAGGGATGGTCAATAAGTTCATAGAACATGGTATCTAAATGAACCCAGCAGAAGATTTGATGATTGTATCGTATTCTGACATCTTTCACACCAGTGTCTACAAGAGTATAGGTGGTTACACCCATTAGTAATGTTACAGTACTTATTTGATGTGAGGTACCCTTGTTAAAATATGGATAGCTCCAAAACTGAGTATAGGGCTGTGATCAAATTTCTTACTTAAGGAGGAGTAAATGCTCGCCCAATTCATGAGCGCATGGTTAATGTCTACAGTGAGGATGCTCCTCAATATTCCACCGTAGCAAAATGGGCTAATGCGTTTAAGCGCGGACGTACATCACTTGAAGATGACCCACTGTCTGGCAGACCAGCAGATGTCATCACAGATGAAATTGTGGCCAAAGTTCAAAATATAATTATGACTGATCGCCGTACCAAGGTGGATGAAATTGCCTCAGAGTGTGGTATTTCTCATGGAAGTGTTTGCAATATCATCAATGAACGTTTGCGTATGTCTAAAGTGTCTGCCCGATGGGTACCTCGAAATCTGAATGCGCAAGATCGTCACCAACGAGTGGAATCAAGTCGAGAGCTCTTGGACATTTATAGGGCAGATCCAGAGAATACTCATGCTCGCCGCGTGACTGGAGATGAAACCTGGATTCATCATTGGGATCCAAAACCCAAAAAGGATTCTTAGCAGTGGAAGCACAAGACATCTCCGCCGCCAAAGAAGTTTAAGACTCAGCCATCTGCTGGAAAGATCATGGCCACCCTTTTCTGGGATTCCAAGGGCGTCTTAATGATAGATTATAAGCCACCAAAGAAGACAATCACTGGTGCTTACTATGCAGATCGAATGAAGAAATTGCGAAATGCAATCAAAGAGAAACGGCGCGGTATGTTAACTGCTGGTGTTTTGCTACTTCACGACAATGCACCTGTCCACAAGAGTAGAGTTGCGCAAGCCGCCATTCGTGAATGCAAGTTTGAACATTTGAATCATCCCCCATTTAGTCCAGACCTGGCACCAAGTGACTATTATCTGTTTCGAAATCTCAAGTCACACCTGCGTGGAACGAGATTCGCCAATGATGACGACCTCATTGCTGCCACAGAAGCTTGGTTTGGGGGGCAAGCAGAAGACTTCTATTTTCAGGGAATTGGTCAGAGAGTCTACAGCATAAATGTGAAAAGTGTATTCAAGTGCAGGGAGATTATATTGAAAAATTAAAAACATGAAAGTCCACTTACACCTTGTTTTTATATTGAGTTCTATGAACTTTTTGACCATCCCTCGTATCAAAGGTCAAGTAGGGACTACTTTCACTGTTTATTTATACAAACATGGCGTCGCCCTCGTCATTCGGCGATCGAGTCAGAATTAACCATCGGGAAACTGGATATACTGCAGGGATAATTGCTATCATTATCAAAAGAACAGTCTAATATACTGAAAATCAGTGCCTAACTGTGACGTAGCTAAGGCATTTTAAAAGTTTTGGCAACTTATAAATTGAGATATAAATTTCCAAACAATTTTGGGAGGGCACGAGGCATAGCCAAGCGGGATCAGTAGCCATATCTGTGCTTGTAGACCTCTGCGGCTTGAAAGCTTCACCACAAATTAAAATAGATGGATTTGGCTGAAATATGTTTGAATTGTTACCTTGTTTCGTTTGTCGCTGTGTGTACATCTGACTACACTTCTGACACACTTAACGTTATGACAGGACAGGCCGACTGTCAACAACGTCTGACCGTGGCCGTGACGTCTCATAGACTAGGGTTAGAGTAACTTCCCTTGACAAAGGTCGGTTACTCTAGCGGACAGACCGATGGATTGCCGCGAAAGGCAATTAAAAACACTTGCTGTTTTGCGTATATGTTGCTTCGTCACTGTATAATAAACAGATTTCAGTTGGAACTATATTGGCTACTGTCACTGTCCGACTGACACATCACTTTTACCCTGTCACGTAATAAATATTAATGCGCGCATTCAAGGAAAAGTCGCCGTGTCGGTGATGTTTGTGCGAGAGGGAAAGCGATTTTCAAGCACAGAAATAAAGAATAACATTACATGATAAAGAGGTTATCACGCTTGTGTGGAATAGACACCAAATGTATAAGCTCGCCAAGGCTCGCTAAATACAATGTTTATTCCTAATGCAGGATATTTACCATCCCCAAACACACTCGCGTGATAACCTCTATAACTAAAACAATATGAATGAATCGGGTGGTCCTTAGTTCTTTTAAGTCGTACAGTAAACTACGGTTATAACGAACTCAAAGGGACTACTAATCTTAGTTCGTTATAACCGTGATTCGTTATAAGCATATATACAGTATAACTCCAGCAAAAAGTCGGGACTAAAAAGTAGTTCGTTATATCCGTTTGTTCGTTATAAGCGTGTTCGTTATAACCGTAGTTCACTGTATATGATACACTGGATAATCGAAGATGCATGAAGTGCAACATCAGTAATGGAATTAAACAAGTAGTCCGTCAACTCACTATATCACCCTCCTGAGAATGTATACAATAGTGAGATACACACGCGTATTCACTGAGATCCAGTGATTGGGGTTATAGCAGGTTTAAGCAATATAATTATCACTTTAATTGAGGGCTGTGATATTGATTTTTGACAGCACACAATGTTCTGGCAGTATTAAAGATACAATCAGTCATCTATAACGAATGCTAACCCTCCAGAGAACAAACAGTCATCTGATACGTCTGGAAGTATTTGCTCAGACCTATTGAATGAAGGTAATAAAGACTCAAATTGACTGTTTCCTGTTTACTCTGTATGATGGTTCGGTGAAATGGTTTTAACGTCGTGTTCCAAATTAGTGCTCTTTTATATATAACAATGTCCATGCATGTGCTTGCATAGTCAGGTCCAGCCCACTGAGTGAGTGAGTGAGTGAGTGAGTATGGTTTTATGCCGCTTTTAGCAATATTCCAGCAATATCACGGCGGGGGCCACCAGAAATGGGCTTCACACATTGTACCCATGTCGGGAATCGAACCCGGGTCTTCGGCGTGACGAGCGAACGCTTTAACCACTAGGCTACCCGACCGCCCCCAGCCCACTGAGATACCATGCCGCAGTTTAACATGGATACCCCAGACAGACACGGGATACTGACTGCGCGCCGACCTGTCCTTGTTTTAGCCTCTTAGTGCCGAGCGCCAGACAGGGTAACAACAGCTACCATAGTTCAACGTCCTTTGGTATGACTCGGTTGGGTATCGAGACCTTCCGTTCTCCGGGCAGACGCTCTATCCACTACACCACGGAGGCGGTTCTCTCTTCACGATAGAGCAGGCCATGGAACCCCGGACCTTCCGTTCTCCGGGCAGACGCTCTATCCACTAC